GATCAGTTCCACGAGACCTGCGACTTGAGTTTCATGGAGAACGGCCTTTGAGTTCCACTTTTGTGGAAATACGGCTAAAACCAGCGGCTGAAACCGTCGTAAAAAATTACATTAGGATGGCCGCTCTCAGGTTTCTCTCTGGTCGTGAAGTAGTTCTCTTCTTTTCTAGCAGTGAGTTGATTGGTGGCCGCGGCAGGCCGAGAGCAACAAAGATAGAGTTCGAGAGTCAGTTGAGAGAGTTATAGTGAAAGGTGATAGCACAGACTTGTGAGATGATTAGTCCCCCACCGCTCTTATTGTAAGAGAGAGAAACAACTACTCCAGCACTATTTTTATCCTTTAATGTTGTCTTCAACTTCGTCATATAAATGTTCCGTCTATTATATAAGTCTATGGTTTTTGTGCGGTGAATTCTTAGGCCTGTTCTACAATACAGTCGTAAGCTGTAAGTCGTAAGAAATTGACCAATCACAACTGATTATTTTTCTGTAATTGATCTGTAAAGAGCCGTCTACAATGGAGAGTTGTAGGCCGTAACAGTAAGAAATTGACAAATCACAATCGATTATTCTTCTGTACTTTGTCTGTGATTGGTCAATTTCTTACTATTACGGCCTACAACTCTCCATTGTAGACGGCTCTTAATTGGTCAATTTCTTACGACTTACAGCTTACGACTGTATTGTAGAACAGGCCTAAGCTGTTGATAATGGGTGCATTCAGACAACTCAACGGTTAAGAGATCATCACTTATGATAGGACTATTCTTCAAAATCTGCTTCGGTTCCAAAAATATGATCCAATCAGAAGTGATTATCTCTCAACCGTTGTGCAACTGTTGAGTTGTCTGAACGCACCCAATGCCGTATGCTGCCGCTGGGGTACGTTCCAAAATCTTACCTTGGTAACCGAAAACCATAGTACATGTGACGCAAAATATAGCATTTTAGTAACCAAGGTAGGATTTTGAAACGTACCCCTGAATGGTGCATTCTGCGGCTCGAAAAGTCGGACGCGCGCGCGCTATTCAAACAATTCAAAAATTCTATTTCGCGGTATTCTTTTGAAATGTTTTACAGCTCGTGCATCATTTTAAGATAAATTACAATCTCAAACACAAAATCGAACTGTGAATACCGGTCTAACACAATAACAAATCTTGTTATCAAGATGATGTCACATATTGAACATACAGAATTTGTTATTTCTAAGTAACCGTTAACGAAAATTGTGTGCAGACAAAAAAGTCTAAAGAAAAATCTCGGTTCTCAAAAGTCAATTAAATGCGACATTGGATCAACAAAAACTACATTCTAGTATGTTATAAAAAGTTTACTGATTGAAGAGTCACGCTACACTTTAAAAGTTAATTGTATATTTTTTTATAGAGTATGTTATTTGTTTTATAGAGTATTATATCGGAATGTTTAAGTTTAAATGCTCAGCATTCGCGATATCACAGCGATACTATGATTGCCGGACGAAGTGTGTGTGAAAAAATATTTTACATGAGAAATGAAGAGCAAGATGAAAGATTGGAGAGAGAGAGAGAGAGAAACAAAGCACACACGATGTCACGCACAAATATGAGATATGTATGTATGTGCTACATGACATGTTATATATATATTTTACAACGTATACTTTTATTAATTGCAATTACATATATGCGTTTTTTTGCATTCTTGCTTCATGTGCGAATTACTTACACAAATGCTCCATAAAAGAAAACAAAAAGTCAGTCCAACGTTTTCACAATAGCTTTTCTCAGCGCGGCGTTATATATATATATATCTTTTTTATATTATTTATATATATATATATGTATATATATGCGTGAGAATCCATAAGAAATTCTTATTTACTACAAAACATTTATATAATCTACGTTGTCATGATCATGATCGATGTCGCGTTTAAGCACTAATCAATCGATTGTTTTTTTTTGTTCTCCTTCATGCGATATGTAACACTAGTCTAGATCACAGTCGTTTCCTCTTTGCAGTCGAGTAAAGAGATGCGATTGATGAGTGAGGATGTGAGTGAAGGAGAAGAAAGGAGAGAAAGAGAGAGAGAAAGAGAGAGAGAGAGAGAGAGAGAGAGAGAGAGAGAGAGAGAGAGAGAGAGAGAGAATGTGTGCGCGTGAATGCGGGCGCGCACGCGTATATGTATATATATGTGTGCGTGTGTGTGTGAAAGAGAGTGAGACAGGCGGTGGTTATCATTCATTCGTTACTCTGACTACGCAAGCAATTTTTCTTGTTTTTTTTTATGAAACTGAAAGCCGCGGTGTTACAATGACATGAAAACTTAACTTATGTAGGCGCATATATATATATAATTTATATACGGTTATTTTTACGATGAAAAACTTGATTACACTTCTTTCCTCTTTTTTTTGTTTTTTATTTATCCTACGAAGAAGGATAGAATTAAAGGAGAATTATATTTTTAATAAAGAGCATTATTGAAAATAAACAAATAAAAAGTAAAATATATTCTTCACTTCTTTCTTGTTACACTTTTCCTTTTTTATTTTGGTACTTATAACCAAAATTAAATTTCTTTTAAGTCTATCCTATCTTCCGAAGGCTTTCCTTCTTCGTCCGTTTTTCTCTTAATGTTTTTCCCTTGAAGACTTTCTCTTCTCAACTATTTTAATTTGAATGACAATGCTACAATGAAAATGCATATATGTGATAAAAGTTATGCCATTATTTACAATAAATGCATATTTTTTGCTTCAAACTTTGTTCTGCTGCTGACAAATAATGAGAGTGGATTCCGGTTTTTTTTGTCTTGTGGGGACTAATCATACAATTTCACATAAAAAATTATATGATCTTCTATGATTTAACTAATGACGTCGACTGAAGAATGCCGATTATTCGAGCCGATCATTGAGAAGGAAATAAAAAGTATCGAGATATTGTGTTGTTTTTTTTAAATCTTGTTTTGGTTTTTTTTTGTCGGACTTTTTATTAACGAGAGAACAACAGTTAAGAGTAAAAGTTAAATCGACTAGACATTGACTAATTGTAAGTAAGAAGATCATCTCTTCGACTTAAGTCACAGTTTTAAAAACGTCAAAACAGAAAAAAACTGAGAGAGATGGATAGGGCAGTAAGGAGGAGGGAATGAGGAGAACAAAGAAGAAAAATTGATAAAGAAAGGGAAGAGAAGAAACAGAGAGAAGAGAGAGAGAGATACAAAATTATACAGAACAAGAAGGTGAGAAAGACTGACAGACTGGTAGAGAGAGCTGGCGACAGAAGTGTTCGTATCGAAGTTCGATCGGTGCAGAAATACTATTATCTGAACAAAGAAACGGAAACGGTATAGATCGATAGATCAATATAGATAGATAGATAGATAGATAGATAGATAGTTAGACAGAAAAAGTGAGAATTATCTCATAATTGTTCTAATCTAATTAGATAATAGTAGAGTTACAGGAGAATTACTAATATGTAGTAAGAATAACTTTGATAATTAGAATTCTCTATCGTCGTTAGAGTATCGATAAATGTAATATAATAATTTAGTGTTAAATTTTTGATAGCCTTTCAAATATTTTCCGTTCGTTTCATTTCTTTTTTTTTTTTGTTTGTTGTTAGCCCATTTGCTTTCGTCGGACTTCACGTTCGGTTCGGCTGTTCACTTTCTCGTAATCATAAGCAAAAATATTCGTGTATACATATTATATGTAAGGCCGCGGTTTACTGACTTAATCGCCATACTAAATAAATCATACAATCATATATAATGCTCCACATTTACACTACAAACACTGTGTGACACTACAACATCAGTGGCAAAATGTTCGAGCAGCTGCAATAACGCGCACAACAGACTTGCGAATTGTTTTTTATATTTCATTATTTTCTTTTCGAAAAAAAAAGATATATACATATTGCGCAAAATTAAGCTTTAATTACATGCTCAGACTAATTGTAAGTAAGAAAACATACATGATGCTTTTTACTATTTGCGTTTTCACTTTTCAGTTTTTAAATTAACAGAGATTCTACTTTTAAGAGCTTCTTAGAAAAAATAAAAGCTACAAATATTAAAAGCCCATAAATTTTGAAATTTGATAAAAGCATTTTAATGCTGTTATTGCATCTTGCGCGATGCCTAATTCAAAGGCTCAATTTAAAAAAGAAAACTAGATCTTATTGTCGGTCAAACAAAATATCAATCTAATTTAGTTAGTTGTAAACAAGCTGTACGAACTAAAGAATGCACTTATATACATTTAAAATCGTAAAACGTACTATATAACAACTTTCCTTTCCTCAAAGGATTTTTGAGTGATATATCAAGATGAGAAAAATCCAACATGTTTAACAGTTATTCTTTTCTTTTATAACAAACTAACAAGCACTTGTCGATTTCTGGCGAGAGAAAGAGAGAGAGAGAGAAAGAGAGAGAGAGAGAGAGAGAGAAAGAGAAAGAGAGAGAGAAAGGAAAAAGATTGAAAGAGAAAAATGGAGCTCGCCTTTCGTCGCTCTCTATCCTGAACGTACGATGCATAAAAAAATATTCTGTTAAGTTCGGAAGTCGACGATGAAGGAGATAACATCCTTCCTAAGAATTTATTTTCGCCGCATATACCACGTGTACACGCGCGTCGGTATAAGCTACGGATTTCTTCGTGCAAAAAAATCTGCTTTCGCGCAACTTTCAAACAACAAAACGATTCTCCCTTCCGTGAGATCTTAATGCCTGCTCTGTTTTTTTGTTTCTGTGTGTTTTATCATATGAAAAGTTGAGACTCTGTCCTACCGCTTTCGTTCACCACCGCTATAAAGTATGTACAAACGAATGGTAAATTCCTTGTCTCGTACTCGCACGACTGCTATTTTTTGTATTTTCTCTCCTTCCTTTACGGTTTATTTTTACTGATTTATTCGTCGAAGCAGGATGAAAACTGCGTTTTCTATAAGAGGCCAAAAGAAAAATCGGAGAGTAGGTCAGTATTTGCAATTACATAGTCACGTCCAATGATCTTGTATTATCAAGATTATAGTCCTAGGTAATGTTTGGAAGGTTTTAGTAATCGCTCATTGTTTATTAAAAAGTTACAAACAAAGTTAGTTATTTGGACGTACCCCGGCGAAGTAACGATTGAACATTTCACGGTTTGACACTGTTCAAGTAAATACTATGTGATCAGACATAAATTATAAATTTAGACAAGTGATCAGTGACACGCATGATTGTTATTTAACCGATGAAAAAGTGGACAACTGAACATGATATGATTAAAACCCGATTTGAACACTGTATAATTTGCTATGTAATTGTAAATAATTATCTTTTTTTATAATTTGTTTTTTTTTAAATTATTATAATCTATTTTTGTCTAAAATTATTTTATGCAGTAAACAAGGTATGTCTTCAAATTTGAGGTAGAGAGAGAGAGAGAGAGAGCTTGAAGAAAGCTCAATAGTCACGAAGGCAATTTTGTCGCGTCATGTTTTGGAAAGTATCAGAACACAAATCTATTGTTTGCAATAGAGATGTTTTGCAATAGAGTAAAGATAACAATAATAATTTTTCACCCTGCTTCGTTATACTTTCAAGTTTGATGCACTTTTAAAAGTTTATATCAAGCTAAATAAATATTCACTAATCATGACATGCGTTATGTCGTGAAGTTTTGAAAATATACATGCGCCCCGTGACAACACAAGGTGTTGTCTCTGTCTTTTTTTCTTGCAGTATATAAACTTATTATATAATACTTGTATATTTTGCCATAAGGACGCGTTAATAGTCTCGACGTAATATCGACGACGCAGCGACGAAAAAAAGCGAGAAATAAATAGTTAAACAATAAATATATGCTCTATCTCTATATTGATATTATATTAAAAATACGATAACATAACGTAGATTAAAAGAACAACAACATGCGCTATATTACGTTCACTGCTTTTGATGTTGTCGGCGACCATTCGATCGCGGCTAATTATATGTAATAACGTGTGCTTATACGAAATGTAAATAGTATCTAACATCTGAAGAAACTACGAAAAATTACAACATGTTACCAATTAATCAGCACTATGTTGAGATTATTTGTATATTTACATTTATGATTATTTATTGCCGTTTAGAAAACTATCATTGATCTATCGCGAGTTATTTGTCAGCCAAACACGTTTACTATTCTCCTACCTGATTCGTCGTCAAACTGGAATATTATACGCACCATGTTATCTCTATACAGATAATCCAAGAAAAGAGAGATTTACCAAAAAATGTTGTACACAAACAGTGTACAAATAATATAAAAATGATTTTTTTTTTCATACAAAAGAAAAAAACTCTTTCGTGCTCTCTGTATTGTTTCAAGAGATATTTTTCGTTGGCGAGTGTATCGGGTGAATGGTCGTCCAACACGCAACAGCGATCGTATCTAACAGTAAAAAAGCATTCTCATGTTAATTGCAAAATTAATTTTGTAAGCTGTTTCGGCAGTCAGCGGTCCTTTATATTTTCTCACTGGGTTTTTTTCTTTTACTTCATACTCCGAGAGTTTTTGTATCGCGTTTCATCAAGTCCTGCAGCCAAGTAACGTTGCAAGCGACTCGAGAATCTTTCTCCGAGTGTTTATGTCTTTGCTCCCCAACAACTCAACTGAATCCGCTAAACCAACTCGCGGTACACAGACTAAGTAGGAAAAATCTTTACTCTGTGTTGACAATTCAGCTAATATATCAACGTTGCGTTAGCCTGGCACATACAGACCACGACAAAATGTACGAATATTTATAATTACACGTGTGTTTTATATATGCATGTACGTTTATATACATTTACCTTTGTAATATGATTAAATATCTACGCGTTTTAAAGGCTGAGTCGTGCGCGATATCACGCATCGATATCAACCTTTTCGAATATATTTTCGACTATGTTCTATTTCCTGAGATCAAACATAAAACGATAAATCGATTAATTAAAATGTTAACAAATTACAAATCTGCATAATTCTCGCGCGTGTTATGCATCTAACATTATGCATTATTAGTTGAAATCTGAAAACTGTGCCTATATAAGTAAACAAAAATATTATATGTAATAATTATAGTTTCTCAATGGTGAGATTTTAATAAGTAAATTTTTCTTTGTATAATTCCGCGCGCTTAACGCCGTGGAAAACGGCGGCCGGAAGTCTCGAAAAGAATCAACGATTGAAAACTGTGTGTATGTGTGTATGAAACAAAAACGATCAAAAAAGCTAAAACCCGATACAATTAATTGTATCGTATTTGTTTGTGTATGAACAAAACTCTAGATCATCGTATTGCCTATTAGAGTACACTGGCTATATCTTCAGACATCATTGCATCCCCGTATTTAGACGAAGAAACATACTAGTCGAATGTAAGATTTACTGGCAGAGTGCTAGAAACAATAACTAGAACCAATTACTGGCTGAGCCGAATTTTGTAGAAAGACCGCCGATACCCTTGCCAAACATGCTACCGACTTTCCCAACAACGTTCGAAGTAACGTTGCTCAGATTAGCCACGTAATTCGCGTCTTCCGTTATCGTCTCAACGATCGTCACTTTTGTCTTAGGTCTCTCCACCTCGTCGTCATTGCCATTCTCCGAAAGCCCCCTGTAATGCACAAAAGAGAAAGAAAGATTAGATGGCGTTGTTCAGTTTTACAATATGTTTGTTTTTTTTTATTTTTTTATTAAAAAAAAAAATGCTCACTCTTCGTTCTGAGCGCTCATGGTTAAGGCACAAGTTGCTTCTTCCGTCTTCATCCTCTTGTCTATAGTCTGATATGTCTTGGTATTGAGTTTCTCTTCCATAACACCTTGGAGCTCGAAGTCCGAATAGATCTTCTTGACGATGTGAGCTAGACAGGTACATTGATATAGATGCAGACTATGATCGATTCTCTCGGACAACCAATTACACAGCATTTGTATCTGTGCCGTGTACCATTGCTGTAAACGCGTGTCAAAATGATTTAGTGAAACTCCTCTTCTTAATCAAGTTGTAAATCTTATTGTAAAAATTGTGATTGTAAAACATTTTCTAAAATTTTCTTTAGACACGCTCGTGTAAAAATTGGAATCAGAGAGCTGCAGATCTTTTTGTATTGTTTGAATCTCTATTGTTGAATCAAAAGCCGTTACCTCAAAGAAAGTCAAGATCCACAATTCATCGAGAACTTTGCTGCGAATCTGATCCATACAGTTTCTCGTAAAGTTGACATAAGCTTGTCCCATTTCTTTTCCGCTTCCTGATACCTTCTAAAAGATAAAATGTAACAGATTGATATATAAAAAACAAAAAAGAACAAATAGTTCAGTGAAAGCTACATTTTTGACGAAATAATATAGTTTGTTGACGAATTTCATTTGTTACTGAACGTGACAAAAATACCGTAAGACTGAGAATGGAGCCAATGAGAGAACCCTCGTCGTAACGAGACAGTTTTGAGAGTGTCGCTTCTAATACCGATATTAACTTATTAATCATTCCTTGGGTCATTCCCGCTGACGTTTTTTCGATTATGTCATCGATCTTGGCATGAAATTGATGCTAGAAATATTATTAATCATATGACAATATAAAGTGCATCCGCACTCTATAGATCAAAAATATTATTTCATATTATTTATATACGTATAATTATATATCAAGATCTAGTCTTAAATATGAAAAACATAAAACCAAAATGTTGATTAAATATCTTCCATATTGATAAATATTAATTTATAATATTGCTAACTTAAATATTGATAAATTTTAAAAACTATATTGTAGTAGGTATTTAGAAATTTAAAATTACAAATTACAAATTAAGTGTTTTGTATTGAATTCGCGTTCTGTGTGTTTGTGGAGAACTAGCGAGCGTAAAACTTACCACATCGACACCATCAACAGTACAAAGCTTAAAACTTTGATTTTTGGCGTCCAAAATAACATTCACCATAGCACACATTTCCGAAGGTATGATATAATCAGTAGAGATAAAAGTCACGCCTTTCTTCAACCACTGCTGGAAAGCTGCGTCAGTTCTTTGTATGCATGATTCCACCATGTCACAAGCCATCAGTTTGAGTCTCTGTTCAAGATGTTGACGGAACTCGAGATCAGGCCAGTGCAAACCACCGATGAATGACTGCAACGCGTCGAGCTTCCAAAACAGATCCTCTGAAGTTGCGCAACCATTCCCTTTGATCTCCCATCGTTCTTTCTCGAAACCTTTATGGATCGACTGAGCAATCGAGGTTTCCATCAGATCAACGTAGCGCACCACCAGTGGCGCGAATGTGTCGCGTAGATGCTGATGAAATCTTCCGTTGTTTAAACCTTCTGTGTGTGCAAAAGAAATTATACAACTATCTAGAATTTGTAGAGAAAGTGACAGAAATATGGAATTTTTTGATTTCAAAGAAAAATATCAAAGTTCGAAATCGAGATATTGAACGAATGATCGTCAATACTGATAACTCAAATATCTGAGAACGTGCACTATTACTCACTCACTCACCTTCAGTTCTTAGATAATCGTTCAGTATTTGGAATAATGGAAAGCTGTCCCACGTGTCGGGTGGTTGATCCGCAAGAACTTTGTCCATGTCAACGGCAAAAAGCGACCAAAAGATCTCGGCGTGCTCCACCATAAGATCGCTAAACCAGGCGAACGCCTGCGGTACAGTGTAGTAGGAGCGGATCGTGAAAATATTGGACGTCGCACATTTACGGTGGGCACCTTCCCTTTAGCTCGGAGTGATGGGAACGCCACCCTGAGCACGGAGCCCTCGAGTACCCAGAAGACACTACTTCTACTTCATGATATGCGTAATAATCGTGATACTAAGCGACTAGCGTTTGCTGCTGAATCTAGATCTCAAAGTAAAACCGTTAACTCGAAAGAAATGTCGAGAGAAACATCGTAATTGAATGTCGATGAGACGTCTCTCATTTAAGAAAAGTATCTGGTGAGATTTAAAGAGTAACGGAGTTCCAAAAAAAAGTCTATCCTTCGATTTGTAAAAATGTTGAAATTTTATGAAAATGTCCAAAATGTTCTCAAGTAAATAAATAAAAATCTGAAAGTTTTGGCGCAAAGAATTTTTTAACCGAGAACTAAAGTCTTTAAATTTACACTTTTCCGGTTCGCGAATATTAGTATCCCAAAAAACTACCGAAAGACATTTTACACAAAAGAACAAATTCTTTGAAATATTCTCTAAGACGAAAGTTCTAGTACAAAAAAAAACTAGCAAAGTTATAATTTTGAGTTATAAGCAATTAAAAATCAATAGTTACAGTACTGATGTATCAAGCGTTCAAATACGGCGAAGCAGCAAGTAGTTAAATATTGCTAGTATATGGAGTTTTTGTTACGGTATTGAAAGTAATGTGAAAATGAAGTTGAAAATAAAATTTGCGCCAAAAATTCTTTTCTATATATTTAGTTGCGAGCATTGGAGACATTTTCACAAACTTTCACGCAAATCGGAGAATAAAAAAAAAACTGCATCTCTAGAATAAATTTCTACTAAATGCAGCAATGTGTAGAGTGCTAGAACAATACAAATAATTCGACTCGTTTGTAAAAATAAAAATATTTTTGACGTATTTCTTCTTCTTTCTCTTTCTTCATTAATGAGAGAAATAGTCTTTTACTCTTATTAGATATATTACACTTCTTAGATATATTATATTTTTATATAGATAATTATTTAATTTTTAATAATACTTTCATACGAATTATTTGCATCTATCTTTCTGTAATGTTTTGTGATGTATGTTAGTAATGTACATATTTACAATTATGTAATATGTGTATGCGTGGTGAATCTGAAACAACATAACGACAAACAAACAATCAAAATATTGCCTTTACTCTTCTACAAAAGAGTGAACGTCTCTCCATTGCAAAAGAATATCTCACGACATTTGCTATTTATTAATAATTACATTAAATAAAATTGAAGCAAGATTCGTGGTGATAACGAAAGCTATCTATATGACTACGCGAATCAAGTCTACGAAAAAGAAACAAGTGGCGGCGCGTTTGTCTTCTGAGGAGGTATGGCGGACCCTTACCAAGTCCGTTTTTCAAAGCATGCTGATCCTCTCACTCGAGAGCTCCGAGTATGAACACTCAGTTCTAAAAACCCAACTAATACCTCCGAATAATGCTCTTCATTTTGCTGGAGCAGGTCGACGCACAGTTCAGCAAGATGTATTAGATCTTCAAGTTTCTTGCTGGGTGGTACAGATACCTCGCCACTTAGATCATCCTCGATTTTCGCCTCGGCTGACAATTTTGTGTAATTTACCAGAGCCGCCGTTTCAAGGCAGGTCTTTATCAATGCTTTTACTTCCTCTTGTGGCACGGGCGTCACGCTGTCTTTCATCAGAACGCGTTCCAAGAGCGATAAGGTTGATTTTAGCGCACCATCCGGACGTCCAAATGGAAAACTGTACCTATTCGTGCAAAAAGAACATAAATATTCGTAAACGTAACTTAGTAGAAAAAAAAAGCGTTGATTCAGTACCTGGCAAACAATTTCTGACTGCGCAGACCTTGACAACAGAAACTGTTTGCAGAAATGCTACGGAATACGGAAACATGCATTAGTGCTGCCAAAGCTGTTAGCAGAGAGGAAAGGAGGCAATATGGTCACCAAATCATATCCTAAAGAGGATATGGATATGGATAGGACAGATGAATCTGTGGATCCATATCCACAGATGGATATGGATTTGATGGTCTACAAATTTCGCTGGCGGTTGGCGACAAAATCGCGACATTCCACAACCAAATTGTTTGCAGGGTAATGACAAAACATCTTATTTCTAGTTTTTTTTTTCGTATTTTATTTAAAAAATATTAATATCAATATTATTTACCTGAAGTTTGTAATCTGCTTTTCGAGAATCTGTCGAAGTCGGTCTTTAATCTCGTGGAACTTCTCCTTCTCTTCATAGATGATCGAGCGGACCATGCCATCAGACGTGTCATCATAAACATGACTGGCACAAAAAGCAAAACTAAAGTGTATCAACGTTGGATCTATCATAAGTCCACGATCGATTCTGTCCAAAAGATCGTGAAGAAGACAGAGATGTCGATAGCATCCACGCACCCCATATCTATCATCAGAAAACATAGTTTTTTATACTATTTTCTTTTACTTTAATAGTTTCTTTACACAAAAATATTTTTTATTTAATGCACACAAAGTATTTTTCTGTTAAAGGCATACAGAAAACAGATTAAAGGTTGACAAAAAAGATTTTATTACCTCGAACAGTACTCGTCAATCACAAAAAGTTGACCAGGTGAAAACCAGCCGAGCGAGCAATAAGGATCGTTCAGTCTATAGTCCAGCACTAAGTTTTGCAGATACTTGAATAGTAAGTGGTGATCAAACTTGCACGGATCTGCACTGATGTAGTCCTCCATGCCGTGTTTTTTGGCACGATCTGTGTCGCCCTGGATTTTGCTGATGGTGGAGTTCTTGTCGACCACTGAGACCGGCGGAGTAGGTTTGTGAGACTGGCCGGTTGCTCGGTACATCGCCATCACCCACAGATGACACTCGTTCTCATCATCCGAAGCATACACTATATTGTCGCCCTCGCGCACAGCGTTAAAGAAGAACCTGTCGAGTACACTCAAATTCGTGATCACAGAATGTACGAGCGTGCAAGTCGACAACCCAATACACAATCTTTACCCGCCAGCTGCGAAATGTCCTGGTTGATCACGTTATATTGACATACAAAGATGGAATCAAGGAATTAACTACCGAAGTTACCATTTGTTTTATTTTTGCTTCTAAGTGCTAGATACCAACTAATATTTTGCTACAAAAATCAACCAAGTGTTGTATTTTTTTGTTTTTTTAAGCTATTGGACAAAAATTGTCCTATAAATTTCATTATATTTTATACTACACTATGTTGCATTTTATTTAAGATAAAAGTTGAAGATAAATCTAATGTAACGATAACAAAGAGCTTCGTAATTTTATAACGTTACAATTCTGCGCAACTACGAGCATGCTGTGGCAACAACGGCATTGGTGGCGGCGGCGGTTAGGTCTAGTTGTCTGGTGGGATGAGGGAAAAATTTACCTTCCGCCCTCTAAATCCATGCCGACCATGAGATTAGCGGAAACGGCCTCGATATAGTCCACTGTATAGCCATCGAGCTGCATCATTTCCGACGGCTCGCTTTTCTTTTCTTTATACGAGCACATCGCAAATGTGTACTGCGAGACCTGGACCAACACAAAGTACCGCTTCTTCCATTTTTTCCAGACGGACTTGCCTATTGCGTATAAGTAGCCGCAATGCTTCATGTTGAGCGGCTTGTCCATGCGACAGGCGATTTTTATGCGTAGATCTTGATCGGGGCAATTCTTGGGCACAGTCATGCGATGCCACTCCGGCATCTTGCCTGACAGCGGAGTGGGTCGCAAGATTACCTTGCCCAATTCTTTATCCTCAAGCGCCAACATTGCCGGATTCTCCGTGTATAGTCTGACCTTAACTACCGGCAGCGGGTGCATCGTTGTGAAATCACCCTGAGTATCCCACCTATAAATAGCACCCATGGACGAGAATGACGCGATCGGTCCTGACCCTCGAATCAGACGAATCGTGTTTATCGCAATTCTTTTTACTCACATAGGTTTCGAAGCTTCGGCCTGATCGGTTTGCAGCTTTTCGCCGCCTTCCACCTCCATAGTGCAATAAACTATTCTATTGGGTGCTAAATTTTTAAGACCCTTGACTTCCATTACAATTACTTCCAGTTGGAAGGTCAGGCCGACGTCCATTTTCGTCAGTTGGGGGTCGGAATCGGCGGAGTCGCCCTCCAGTTTTGCGAGAGAGCCCTGACCGCGGTAGCGGGAGCGCTCACCACGATGGTTGTAGCGCTTCAGCTTCTGCAGCCCGTATTTGCTGTCTATCGAACCTTTGGAGACCGGTAACGACTCCAAATTAGCCATTAGCAGATTGATAGACGACCTGAGCTCTTCGATGTAGAGCGACTCCATATTTTTACCACCCAAGACAAACTTGGGCATGAGCTTCCGGTTCTAGGGATAAAGAAAGGAATGGCCGGCGTTGAGGAAATGAGCAGAAGCAATACTTGCTGGAGTAATGACAAGGAAAAAAAGAAAGAACAAAGTGTCCATGACCAAAATTAGAAAAATGGCGTTTAAAGTAAGATAAAAGCTGAAAAGAAACAAGAAGAAGCGGCCACATACGGTACCTTTTCCATTTCATTGACTCGCTGTATGCGACCGTCCAGCTCCCTCCTGATGGCAGCAGCCTGCTCATCGGCTGAATCCAACAGGAGGGCGTTGAACAGAAGCTGGTGCTCAAACTTCTTAATTCCAAGAATTTGTTGGAACATATCATATAATTGCTCCTTGGACAGTATCAGCTCCGAATTTAAAGACTGTTGCATCCTGGAAGGCCGTTTGGTGTCTTCGTCACCAGTACCTTTCATGATACAATCAAATTTGGCCAACCAGGACGTAAGTACAGTCTCTTTGCTCAGTCCATCGATTTCCGGGAGGTTTCGTATTCTTTTTTCGATATTTTTCTTGAACACCTCGCGGAAGTCGGTTTGAGAGCACGCCCCACTTTGTACCATTCGCACTACTCGGTCTGACTTCAGAAATACGTCGAAGTAATGCTGTATGGCGTTGTGAAATGCCTCGTCGGCCATGATCTGCGTCTCGCCCTTCAAAAAACTCTGCAAATTTTCACAATGTTATTAGTTAGAACAATGTTACAGATTATTTTTCTCATCAATATATAAGTTTGTGTTCAAAATTTCTAGGTTTGACTTGATGTAAAAATTACAAGAAGAATTTATATACATCTTGTGACCTCAAGTTTATCTAAAACACATCATTTCGTCAAAATGCCAGTGATAAATTTTGTTATCAAAACGGTCACAGATTGAATATAAATTTGTTATGTCTAAGATTGTAAACAAAAAACAGCATCTAGAAAACAAACTCGAATCTCATGAGCCAATAAAAAATATGAAAGCCAATTAAAATTGACACTAAATCCCTAAATGAGGAAGTATATAATAAAGAATTTAAATATAATAGCATCATATGAAAAAGAAACCATATAAATAGAGCATGCAAGACCACTATTGATTTAAACATGAGTTAAAAACATATGAGTTAAAAACAAATTATCGAATGTGTCTTGTTAATGATACGTTTCGATCTTTATTGTTCACATTGTCAGTTTACATGAATAAAAAGAAAAAAATATAATAACACCTGCATTCGATAGATCTGCTATGGCTTTGATGCTAATCTACGTTGGACAGATCTACTTGGGATTTAATGCCAATTTGTAAAGTGACTTGATTAGATATATCAGTACGACGTAACACACACATGTAAAATATATTTACGTCGTACAGGAATGTATATACGTGAAGACAGATAGTCTATATTTACGGTGAACAATAATTTAATGCGATCGTATAGCTTCAATATATCTAAGAGCAGCGAAGGTGAAGGTTATATGGTAGACTACTATAAGACTTTGCGTAAGGCTTCGAGCAACGGCCATCTATCACGAAAGGTTTCGTAATACGCATATGTTGAAACAATATTCTTGTTCCAACTTTTTGATGATCGACAGGAATATTAGGATATTTTTGAGAGTTGAGTTTTTTTCATGTAGATTGTTTTACATATTGCTTTTTTACATATTGTTGTTCTCTTCACATGTTCACTTGACGTTTGTTTGTTAATTCCTTGGAGAAAAAAATTTATACTCATCTGTTTACCTGAAATCGTGAAGATATGGTTTCTAGTTGTTGCTTGGTAACTTTCATCTGTCTTCGTGTCATATCCATTGGTTGTTTTGCATTGAAAGGATAAGCGATGCATCTAGATATAAAGACATAAAGCTGGATCCTCTTTTTCCTGTCTTCCTCTTCTTTCTCTTGCTTATCCTGAAGAAAGATGAGCGAACTCTTATAGATACAAAAAATTATTATGCGTAATATTAGAAAAATAACTATTCACTTTTTCTTTGTGAAAAAAATCTGAATTAAGTAAATCATTCCTTATGATTCATTCACAACTATCTACGTAAAAGATATAATTGAATATATCGCTAGATTTTTACTATTTTCAATATCCAATTATTTTACGCGTATGGGAATATTAATGATAAAATATTTAAATATCTACAATGATATATTATTTCATACACACATATTTCATATGAATTTTAGACAAAACTTTGTTCTGCTAAAGAAACTTAACAATCTAAGCTGTCACGACGAAGAAGAAAGTAAGAAACATGCGTACTTGCAACTCCGCTTCAGTTTTTTCGCTGGCTACCGAAGGAGACGGACTGGTAGGTCTCTGAGCATAGCTGGCGGCATCCTGAGCCGCGCTCATCGATGGCGACAGAGAGTTCCTGGCGCTAAGATTGGGTACGTCCAGGCCAGCTCCGGTAGAGTCTTGCGACGCAACGACTCGACCTCCAGATGCATGAGAGCTCGCGGTGCCGGAGTGACCGACATGATTCGTGCCACCGGGCGACGCCGTGAGACCCGAAGCGAGCGATCCAACACTACCGGAACCCGGGCCACTCCCGATGCTACCAGGATGACGACGGGAACCGTGAGAGCTACCGCTTCCAGGACGCCCGGCGCCACCGCCACTACCACCACCATGATGGGTACTCTGATCCTCTTCGCTCTCTTCCTCGGACGAACTTGGGTCTATCATCGTCTAAGGGGACACTCTAAAGGTACGCGTGGTAGAGTACTAATCGCGCTCTTTTCTGAAAACTAAAACAGTATTTTTATATATAAAACTATTACTTCCTATGGATGTATAAAGTATTAATAAAAACGATTGTTATGAGAAAGCTATGTGAAATATCTGTTATGTAAGAAATTAACAGTTTCTATTTTATTTTATTTGGATGGATAACAACTTTATCAGCTATTAATGGACTTCAAATATTTTGACTTCGATTATTTTAAAAGATAAGAAAATTAAAATCTTGCTTTTTGTTCAGGATAATCATGTTCTTTTTTTCAGTTTTTGTACATATAAAATTGTTATAAAGCGCGTACACATAGTAAACGCGCTTATTCATCATTAAAATGTTTACTTATTTATCATTAAAAAATAAAAGTACTATAATTTTCTTTTTTGTTATAAAAGTAATTCAATAAATTCTATTAAATACAAAGCGAATTTAAGTGTTTCTTAATTATGAGTTAGAAATTTTCAATTAAGTGTAAGACACGCGAAGTTACGGTCATTATTATAAACCAATCTACCTGCCTGATTGTGTTACATCTATAGTATCGTGCCTAACATGTAACAACGCAGAAGTTGCATATTGGCGGCAACTGTTCCTGCGTTCAATTTGCATTTTGATCTTTCTCGCAAGGATATATTCAAACTACAACCGCATAATGGAAGAATTTTGTTGTACGTGAAATGAATGAAATCGAGATAATCCGTTAAATCGTTAAGCGCAAAATAGTATATTTGCGTAATTTGTAGATGAAATTGCGAAAGAAAGAAGTTCCGAAAGAATTCGAAAACACTTTAAACCTCTGAAGAACTTGGATTTTGTTTTTTTATTAAAAACAATAAAAAAAGAAACCTAAACTAAAAACCCACGAATAAATTTTTGACAAATACAATAAATTTTATCGCCAAAATGCTATTTATAACACACATCTAAAAGGCATATAAAAAATTATGTAGCAGCGAAGATATGATCTTCATAATTTCTCGAAAGAAAACAGCTACAAATTTCGGAGTTGTGTAAATATTTTGTGTACACAGTTTTGGCACTTCCTATTATCTCAAAAATTGTTGCAAAGTGTTATAAACATTTGTCTTATAACAATTATCTTTTTTGTCTTATAAACATTTTTCTCAATTACCTTCATTTAATCAATCAATTATAAAAATACTTAAAAAAGATTAATATAAACGTGTAAAAATTCGAAGTCGAGTATCGATTAAAAACTTTCTTCGATTTTGTTTTAAATTTGAATAAAATCTTTTAGAAACATATTTTCAAATTCTGAATCTAACTAAAAGAATTTGCAAAACTCACAAAATCGAAAATTTTAAGATTTTAAGTGCAGAAGGTTCCGTAAATATAATTTAATTAATTGCTTGAAAAATTCGTAATCGCTCTTTTTAAAATATCATTTTGAATTGCAATTAACACTTTTAGGAGAATTTAAATAAATTTATAGATATGCAGCAAAGTTCCTCATGATTAAAGTCGTCAAGACTAAGCTTTTCTAACGACTGAGTTCCTCTCTACTAGGCCAATATTTCATGGATTCGATTGTCGGGTGACCGGATTTGCTGACGCAACATATACATACATACATAAGTGGGAGACTAGATGTACATACATGTATATGTACATGTATATGTTGCGTCAGCCAATCCGGTCACCCGACAATTCGACGATCGGATGCATAAAATATTGGCCTAAGGCTGGCTGAAGAAATGATCATAATAAAAGTCGATCAAAACTTCCAAAAATATAATTAATTCATTTAGAATTATTGAATATTACTTATCTCCCTTTTTTACTGATGTACAAAAATTCTACTAGATCAGAACTTGTTATTTAAAGATTTTACTCGGTTTCGCGAATTTCGTAAACTATCTCAATCTCGTTGCGTGTTGGTCAGCATGTAAAGCTCTACTGCTCAGAAAGGGAACGTCGTTGGTTAACTAGCGACAACGTCGTGTGATTTAAACGCGCAGAAGCCGTCGATAAGGAACTTCCTGTTGGCGAAATCATAGCAAAAGAAACCTGCCACGTATGAGAGGAGAGAGTTAGAGGAAGAGAAGAAATAAAAGCGCACCTGTAAATGGGAGATTCTTGATTAGAGTTAAACACCGAGGCAGCTGCCTGAATCTGAAGTCTGAAATTTTTCTATACACGACAAAATCGATTTTCGTGTGTAATACAGCGCGCCTCTCGGCGCGAATGCAGGAAGCAAACTGGAACGAAAGAAAGACGTGCGTAGCCGTCACAGTGCAAACATATCGATTGTCTCCAACCGTTCTCTCTCGTTTTGTCTTTCTCTTTCTCTCTTTCTCTCTAGTTAGATACCTGATTCACTTGTGTGACATGTTCGCACGCATGCATATTGCGGATATACGCATCATTGTCACGGATCTGCACAATTGGAAAAAATTGGAAAACTTCGGAAAGAGAAATCGACAGGAACTTTTGTATGAGTATTTTAAGCACACACTTATAATGCTTGAATAGAAAGTAACGACTAAAAACTAGATGATACGAAGAATCTAAAAAAAAAACAAATATTTATTGAGACGTGATGTATTTATTCCTGCACAATATGTGTCTGTGTGTGTGATTCAATAATCAATGTAATTTAATTATTAGAATAAAATAATGAGAGAGTGAGAATAATGATTTCTGGTTTAAGAAGATATTATGGTTGAAAAAATAAAAAAAAGATAATCTACTTTTCGAAAATGTTTTATGTAAAATACAGAATAACGTAAAACTTAGCAAATACTATCAAACTCTTTTAGCTATATTTTAAAAATATATTTGTATTATCTAAATGACTAAAATGACCCTTCTTTTATATGTTATGTATTCTTTGTCATTAGAAGTTTGCAACTAATTTATCTCGCCTTGCTTAGGAGAAATGATAGAAATATAAAGAGTAGTTTTAATTGTAAAGAAAACTTGTAATTTAAAATTGAAATAATGAATAAATAATAAATAAATATTGAATGATAAATAATCATAGCATAGACGTTTAAAAAGTGTACTATTAGTAAGAATCATTTCGATACTTTAAACATGTCAAGACGACGGTTTGAGGAAATCGGGTGATAATATGGATAAGGCAGATAAATTTTTAAAAAATTTGTATTTTGTATTATTATAAGTGTTTTTATTACTTAGCTAACTTTTTTCAATCGTTTTTTAAATAAAAAGTAAAAGAAAAAATCATTAACAAATTATTAAAAACAATAATTAAAAAATAAAAAAGTTTTAGTCAGTGCACAATGTATAAATTTGTTCCTAGTACCTTACACAATAAACTTTTCCATATTACCGTCAAGCATAATTTTCAACAAACAATCTAACGTCTCTAAACAAAGATTTGAGAACAAATATTTTTAATTAATTAACCGACTATTTTATACTTTCGTCTTAATATTTAAGAACATATAAAAGTTAATCTGTTAAAAACAATATGTATACAAAAATCACTATTAAATCTTGACTTGCGGCATTGCGCTTTTGCAAAACAGAATATTTTCATAGCTAAATCGGAGCTGGTATAAATTATCATCTTTTACGAGCATAGCAGAACGTTAAATGATAACACTTTCAAAATAATGACTAGATCCAGGAGTCTATTCAGAAGTTTTTTTATTCAAAAATCATTAGAATTTTATGCAAGAGGAATTAAAAAGCTGTTTAAAAATAACAAGACGTTATCAATAATGTGACGGCGAATATATATATGTATATGTATTAAAGTCTATTGTAGTACATTTTATTGGTAAAAAACTTTTATTTCAAAAATTGGAATTTATTTATGACTCGATCCAATAATTGCGCTAAGAAAACTATGTTATTTTGATATTTTCTTGTGTGTTGAAAACACAAACGCACTATATCTTCGTTGTGATCGATAAGTCGTTTTGTGAGCAACGCGTGAATGACGATGTCGTTGCGTATGTATCATTCACAAAGCAGAACGCAGAAAAATTGTCATTCTACATTAAAAAACACGATTTTATAGCACCACTTCTTATATATGCATCTTTTTTTACACTTTTACACGCGACACATGCGTATATATAAAATATATATGTACTTACTATAGGAAAAAAAAATATATTACTCGTAATGTGACAGATGAAACTTCACTTTTACCGATATGATATTCTGATATGATATGTGTGTGTATATATATTTGTGTGATTATCACAGATGCACTCAATATAGAGAACTATATTTTATTTACATATTTAGCACTTATAATTATAATAATTAATAATTTAGCACTTAATTATTATAATTATAATTTGCAAAAAAAAATTATAGATATTCAATTTGTATACAGAGAGAGAGAGAGAGAGAGAGAGAGAGAGAGAGAGAGAGAGAGAGAGAGAGAGAG